TCTGCAAATACAGAGCAGGTTACTCTCTGTGCCCCCAACAACAGAAAACTCCAACGCAAACCCATTTAAAAGATCTTTCCATGAGACAATCATGCAGTCATCTCATTGACTTGGGCTTATATCACTACTTTTATCATTGGTGTTCCTCCGCTAAAACCTCTTGAGCCCTTAATATACAGCTCATAAATAAAATGCTGGAAATGTGCCTTGGAATTAATTACTCCAAACTTACTAATAAATCTGCAATAACATTTCAACATCTGACTCCTCTGTTCAAGTGCATTCTCAGGCACCTGGAGAGAAAACAGAACAAGAAATGCTCCCAGGCCAGACTAACATTCCTGGAAGTCTAACCTGTGGTCAGCATTTGCATGCTTCACACGATTCATTGCCCAGATGGAACACCCTACAGTGACAAAAGCTACAAGGTAGAAATAGAGCTACTGGCTAATTACTTGAAGAGAGGGCATGCAATGGGTTGGTGAGATCAAAGGTACGTTTGGGCCAGCCATAGTGCTGGGGAGGACTGCAATGTGTGGAGGATGGGTCACACGTCTCCTGCAGAGAAGCTCTTGCAGTCCGTATACTGGGGAGATGAAAAGCATCCTACCCCACACTAAATACAGCCATTTTAGTGAAGAGTTTGCCACAGGGAAAGGCTTTAGGCAAATTTTTATCATTAGGCTATAGCAGAAGAAAAGTGGTATAAATGTCTAAAGTGAGAGGCACATTTTCAAGGACCCACAGTTGAAGCAATCTCTGTATTCTTCTATGACAGAAAAGGGACCTTGTGGTTTTTACGATTAATCCTAGCCTCATTGCAAAGCAAAATGGTAATCTCAAGAGTGGCTAAAAAGTGCAGTTGATTTGTAACACAACAGCATTCAGCCCATGCAATCCTACCTCCCACACAAACCTTCCTCCACCACGCAAAGCCAGGGACTGTGAAAGCTTGTTAAGCTGCAGGAATGCGTCTTTTGCGTTTTTATCTCAGCTCACTGCAATACCTTGGATTCCCATCAATACTTAGCCTTAAAAACCAAACTATTGGTTAAATCCATCATAAATATTAAACACCAGAGTGTACTGGCAAGTGTCCCTGAAAACAAACTTCAGAAAATAAGCTCCAAAAAAGATGTCAAGGCCCCTGGGAGAACTGACACCCCCATGTCATCGGATGTCTTATAAGGCTAAATTAAGCATCTGACCACAGTTTAATTTCTGTAAAAACTCATGCTAATTTAAATTGCTTTAGATTTAATTAAAACTGCTTTACTATAGAGATAATAACGTAACTCTGTTAATTAGTATCAAGTGGCATCTAGAGGGCATATTTAAAAACTAATCTGGAGAATAAATAGAGCTAATTAGCAGTCAGAATAATGCTTTATGATTGTCTTTTGTTTATAGATGCTATAATGTTCAATATGTTATTAAATGAAAATGGTAATTAATATATATCAAAGTTATTTGTTAATGTTCTTTTAACTAAAGAGCATTTCTCACACATTATTTTTCAGATTCTCTGAACACATTTCATTTGTGGAGGGAGGAAGAAGGCAGGAAGGGAAACAGCTGTATGATGCACCACATATGAATTCAATTAGGACCAGCCCTTTCACCTCCTATAATGCAGACCCAACATGTTTATGAGCCCACAGGGGCCATCCAGAAGGCATTAGCTTGTATCTGTGTGGTGTTACCAAAATGCACGGCTGACTGCAGGGCTTAGCACTTCACCCCATGCTCAACCCCATGTGCAGCACCATGGTGCTGTTTAGCAGGCAGAGAAGTGACAGATCTTCCCTTCAAAATCTAAGCCTTGTGAAACCAGAGTCGCGGTTCTGAGGAATGAGAACGGCTCTGAGACTTGCTGTAGTATCTTTTAAAAGACCATGAGGTGCTCAGATATTGCAGGAGTGGAGATTGTAAAAAAAGGGGGTATTACCAGTGAGAATGTGCCACCACAAGAGTGAAGGAGACTGGCAGATAAGCTTGGAAGAAAAAGGGCAGACCAGATGTGGCATAAGGCTCTGTTTCTACATGACTTTTTGCAGGCAAGCATGAGCTCCTTCTGAGTCATCCAGACCAATGCAGATGCTGGGCCTCTGGCTGGCTCTGGGCGAGGCAGAGGGAATTCATGCTTGTGTCTGGAAAAGGTTATGTAGATGTCATCAGAGCTGACCATGGCCAAAGGGCTCAGAGGGCTGCCCTGCCATCAAACAGAAGTTCCCGTTATCCTCCAAGCTCACCTATGATGACAGGCTTAACTGGATTCACTAAATCAAATAAAATCATTGAAGTACTCTAAATTACATCATGCATGAAAAGCTGAAGGGACCAACTCTGTTTTTCTGTGTCCTTTAATCACTATAAACAGGACCAACTCCCCACAATTAAAATAAAAAGCATTTTCATTTGGTAATCTGCACTACTCATGCTGTGCACTTTTTTGAAGCACCACCAAACGCAGCACATGTCCTACTTGTGTGGTTTTTATCCATAACTCTGTGCATTCCTCTCTTTTTTAATGCCTTGCTAATGTTGAAAAATCCCTTAGCTCCCCAGAGCAAAGTCCATTTCAAAAAAAGGAAAGCATCTCTTTCCTCATGACAAGGCTTCAGCATTACTTTGTAAAACAAACTTTCAGAACCAACTTTGAAGAGTGCACAAAGAAAAAAGTAACTATCATTAACATGATTAAAAGCTAGCCACAACCCCAGTAACTGCTGCTCTAACCTTTGTAAGATGACTTTCATGCCAGACTGCAGACATACACTTCCTTCTATAACAAGGATGTGTTCACCAATAACAAGTAGAGATTATTTACATAGCACAGATAGGTGTCAGCAGACACATACCAACAGCACCTGAGATCCCAAACACTGAAGAAATGGTCAAAGGAATTTGTCTGTGTAGTACAAGTTGGACCAGCCTCAAGTGCAGACAAAAACACTGGAAGAAATATGAACATACGGTGTAACACTTCCCAGCATGGCAAACAGCCATGGCAAACACTTTTGGAGATAAAATTAGATTAGGGAAGCAAAGCTGGAGAAAACCGAAGCCAAGAATGAACTCTGGAAGCATTTCAGCTCAAGGTCATCAGAATACTCGCCATGCAACATCACCAGTCTTATCATTCTACTTTTTTCTTTTCTGATAGATCTGCATAGGCCAAAAAAACCCCCAGAAACAGCTGCAGACAAAAACGACAATGAACTACAGTGGTTAGCAGTAATTTTGATGATGCTTATTCTGGAGACTAAAACACAGCAGAAACTCAAAATAACCATAAAAAATAATTGCTGGTTTCTCCAAAGGACAAAGTAAATAAAAAGCAATATTTTTGTAAGCATGTAAAAAGGAGAACTTGTAAGGAAAAGTTTCTCTGCCTTTTTGAAGAACCAGTGATATAAATCTCTCTCATTTTATGGTCTGCAAGAAAACATTTAAAAACTGTTGCTTTCTAACTTCTTCTCTCCTGTACAAAGACTGTAGAGGTAATTAGCTCTGAAGGGTGTAAAAACTTTTCAAAGTTTTTAGCTAAAAATGATACTGCTAATTTTGTGAAGATCAACATTTATCCCATAAAACTCACCTAAGTTGTATAGCGGTGACTAAACTAGTCCAGTATGTAGCAACAGCGGCCTGCAAAGAGCTACCCCTGGCCTGTCCTCAAACAGGAACCATCTACAATAGCAAGACATCAGGTAACAAAAACCACTAAGGGCTGGACACAAAGCCCCATTTCTGATGGTTAGACTCTGAGGTGCTAATTTTAAGCTCCTTTACATTATACACCACATACTAGTAATACACTATGCAATACATACAAATAATAATAATTAAACCCACTATGTATCATTCTAAGCTCCTTCACTGATCTTCTTTTAGGAGCTTACTAGAGAAGTAAAGAACATTTTGGAGTGAACAGATGCATCCAAATCAAGCCATTAGAAAACCAGCACCAGTGCATCCGCAGGGACCAGTGGCACTGTTATGTGGCTAACTGCTTAGCAGTACTGAGCTACCCAGTCTGGTCCTACATGATAACATTCACAAGCAAATCTCAGACTAAGCAAAGAGCACAGACTGAACTGGAGAGGAAGAGAATTCAAGTTCCTAAGAGGTAATTTCATTAACTATCAAATACATTTAAAATTCCACAATTACCGTAACTGTTTATTTTCTCTAATTACAAATAAAAGTCCAAACAAACAATAAACAACCCCCATACCCCAAACCCAAAGTGTGTCCCCATTTTTGTTAGGAACTAACAAAAAGCCTAGCAGGCAGGACAGCTGGGGAGGCAGATCCTGCACAGGCAGGAGAGCTCCAGATGCCCTGTCTGTCTCAAAAGTCAGATGGGGAAGTGGTGGCATTAGTGAGGTTGGACTCTCCTTCCGTGCACAGGACACTTAACCCTACCAACAGCATAGCTGAAAATGGCTCAGAGATGCACAACATGCTCTTCCATGTGGCTAAGTAAGGACAGCTAACATAAAGGCCACCACACTCTTCAGAAAATTAACGTTGGGTCCTAATTCATGTTGACTTTTTCCCTGCAGGTCTCCTGCTTTGTGTTTGCTTTAGAATGAAAGAGGAGCTGGTAAAATGGTGATCAAAACCACGAAGCCTGAGGTTTCCCTACACACAGTGACTGTAGACATAGAAGCATCCCTAGAACTATTCCTCACTGTCCCTCATCACAAGACAAAGTTCTTCACTTTCCAAATATAGTTTTAAATCTACTTCCCTAAGCCAAATAAACCACTTCCAGGGGAGGAGGTTTTTTTTGGAGGGGAAATAACACATTGTGCAAGTAAAGAAGCCCCTCAGACAAACTCCTGGCCATTATCTGCCTGGGGAAGATTCAAAGCAGTAAAGACAGCAAAAGACTTTATCTCCAAAAAAAGCATGAAGGAAATTCAGGCAAAACTATACTAAAATTTGAAGAGGTGCATATTAAAAGACTGATATAATGAATAATATTTTACCTAAAACTCTCAATCTCTCTGCTCCAACCACCACTTCGTTGTCATCTGCAGAAAACAGCAATTTTCCAGAGAGGGTTTTCACCTCAAATTTTTGGCTGTGTGCTTCCACTGCTTGGGGACCTAGGGGGAAGAAGCACAACCTTTTAGTGAAAAGTGTAAGAAAATTACATAGTAGCTTCATACATTTAATAAACCCATCTGCTGAGATTGTACTAGCAGCCCTGCAAAAACAAACTGCATCTGACACATCAAACAGGGAGGTCTGTGCTCTTCAGAGGGTGACATCTCATTAGAAAAGGGCACCGTTTTTCCACCCAAATAACGACCTCTCAACTTTTTCTACTTATGTTTTTGTTAATGCTTATGTTTGTCATAAAATCACCATTAAACTTGGGATAGCTATGAAATTCTTACAAAAAGGCAGAGCCACATGTGAAATGGCAATGAATATACTCAGCCATGCTTTGAAACCATTGGTGCAGCTCTAAGACACATCAGGAGTTCTTGAGTCCATTCTGCTTCAATTGATGCTGTGGAGTAAAAGACTCCTGGTTTTCTGCCTGTTAAATATACCTGGACTTGAATGGTATCAGTGTCATGCACGGTCCAATTTAAAAGAAACCAAACCAAACCCCACCACAGAAGCAAATGTTTTTCTTTTAGACCATTTGAACCAACTGCAGGCCAAGATGAATGGCAGCCTCCATGTTTCATAAAGTTTTTAGATCAGTTAAACTTTCCTTCATTGCTCTTATTTCAATTCCGCTGCCTCTCCTGCAGGCTGCTGTGCACCGCAGTGCTGGAGAGCCTCTGGCAATCCGTTTTGTTGGGGAGCCTGATAAACATCAGCTGCCTGAATACCAATTCTGTGGAGATCTGCAGCTCAAAGGCTGCAAAGAGCAGACCCCTTGGTTACAGACTTAGGCTGAACTTTGGAAAAGTCACCACCTAACAGCCCTGTGCAACTCAGTCCAAGCCACAGACTCCCTGGAATATGGTACTGTGCAAGGCAGGGGACCAGCTTTGCATTAGCTTTGGCCATCTTCATGTCTGATTTCTCATTTCTCAAAAGACAAGAGAAATAATACCTGAAAGCCAGTGTTTTCTCATAGGCAGTTTCAAACGCCACCTATACACAGCATTTTGCTGCACAGGTCATCTGTATTGGTATCAGGGCACACATGGTCATACATGGTTCACACTACAGAAATGTGAGGCTATGCTGAGATCCCTGGAAACACTTAAGAACTCTTGCAGCCATTCTGAGAAAATCCAGTACTTTAAGTTTGATTTCCATCTTGCTAATTAACTGCCTCCCTACTCATCACTGCAGCATGCACTACACGGGACCACATCTTTGCTTTGCTCTGAAATCAAAGCTGCTGCTGAACGCAGAAATGAGCTCAATAAACAGAGCACCACGTGGAGAGACATCACTGACCACATCCTCGCAAGCTCTCACTACATGGAGGTGCTTAAGTAACCAAATACCCTCTGGAAAATACATGGAGAACAAACAAACTGAACATGTTCATTCTGAAAGTGAGAATCAGGGACCTTGGGGTTGAATTTATTTCCTTCCTCCAGGCAATTTTCACACGCGCTGCTTAAATCACTGCTTACTGAAGCTGCATATTTAATTATTTAATACTGTGACTAGAGGCCAAGATGTTATATAAGCAAACCAAACAACCCAGTCTCATGTACAAACAACATGTTTATGGATTACTGGCTCTGCCACACAGCAACACTTCTCCCTGCCCCCAGAAAAATCTCAATATATAAATATCGATCCTATACCGTGTACATAATATATATTACAATATATATAATGCATTAGGCTCTTCCAACCCAAATTACATGTGCATTCATTCAAAGGTTGCTGTGCACTGAGGATTTAGGAGACACTCATTTTCCCATCAAACACACTCACACTTGAGAGCATGAGAGCATCCTTCAGCAGCAGAAGGGCACAGAGAGCTCTGAACTGCAAAGTATCCCAGCCCAGCCACAGTTAATCTGCAAAATTCCCAAGATCTTTGGCAAGTTAAAAGTATCTCAGGAAAACCCTGTGCCTGTTACAACAGAAATGTCAGCTTGCAGATATTCTCCTTGACCCTGAAGTCTTACAAGTAACCTTTCTGTCTCTACATTGGCTTTCAAATGAAAACAGTGGTCTGCTTCATTATCAGAAAGCATCAGCCAGCTGCCTCTCCACCACAGCTTTCATGTATCCAGCTTTGTTTCTACAAAGTGGAGTGAAGTTTTCATTGGTACTTCATGAGACACCTCGCTCTCCTCCTGCGCACTGCCTAAAGCCAGCACAGCATCCCACAACACACCCACTTTCATCCCTCAGTTTTTCCACACAGCTTCTCCCCCTCCTTACCTGTTACGAGGCGAGTAAGGACTTTAGTCTTCTCATTGAGGATGTTCACTGTCACATTTCTGGCAGACTGGAAGTACAGTGGGTTGCCCTGGAACAAGAGCATGAGAGTAAGCACATGAGATGGGGATTGCTGCCTGAGACCAGCCAGCTTGAGCTTGAACCTGATGCTGCAGAGCTGCTGTTAATGGCCCCAACATTGGGTGTGTGGTTTAGGTGCAGGCCACTCTGAATTAATTCTTATTGTCCAGGATAAAATCACAGTCCACACATCTGTTTGGCCCAGATAAAGTCCCAGAGACTAGCCTTATTTTAGGGATGGTTGGCTTTGACAGTATAAGCCAACCAACCGGCTATTTTGAAACATGCAGGTGATATGGGACCTGACCTAAGCTTCCCAAAGGTCATGGTGTTTTTGGAGGCTGGCTGGATGCAGCAGTGAATTTAGAGTCAAATCTGCAATATTACACACAGCTTCAGGTGACCGTGGTGACTGTAGTGTCTACCACATGGCTATGTGACTGAGCCATGCCCAAGGGCTGTGAACAAGAAAACCTTATTAACATGTAAAAAGTGCCTTTGATCTCAAAGCACTTATAAACCATGCAGCATGTACCACCACCAGATTCCAGACTGGGATGCCACCTTGTGACCAGACCCATCCCACCAGCTCAGGAGATACACAAGACATGAAGTATTCCCCACTCTCAACTTGACCACACAGAATTCTATTTAGTTTTCATTTTTATGCTTTAAATATACCTCTGAGAGAAGAGCTAGCGCAGATGTTAACACACTAAGAAGCCATACAACTACCTGGCAGCACTCACCTCAGGTACTTCTCCCACAGAGTGAAGCCAAAGAAAACCCACAGAGAAAACCATCTGGCTCCTCCTGTGTGAAAACACATCCAAGACTCCCAGGAACTCGTGTTTTCCACCAGTCCACCCAGCTGGTTTCTCAGGGGCTATTAACCACCTACCAGCACAGGGTGATCCCAACTTAAATCAGCCAAAAATCTAATGTGCAAGGTGGAAATTCACTGCTGATATCTCTTAATAATGTCTAGAGCAGGCAGCTGATTAAATTCATCAACTGACTAAGCCGTAGGACTGGCAGAGGGGATAAACTAGTGAAAAAATCAGCAAGAAGTTGAACATTTTATGTCCATGTGCTGCTTCTACCAAAGTCTTTTTTCCAGTGTTTTGAAATCTTATCATTAGGAATGAATAATCAGGATGGTGACAGAGGATCATGTAGGTCAGACATGCTCTCCTTGACACCTGAATTTATAAGTATCATAACGAATATTTGCATAGATTTTTCTGGATCGTGGCAGAAGGATTAGGTTGTCTGCATATAAAACACAACAGGATCACAGGAATGCACTCATGGAAGCCCTGGGGTGGACTGGAGCTTCAAGGAACACTTCTAGTGGTAAGTAAACTATTCCCAGCAGTGCTTGTAGAAAACAAACCTCAAAAAACTCAAACAGAACCAGCCCCATATGTGACCAAATATTCACAACAGTCACATTTGCTGCCTTAACTATTCGTGCTGCATGCACCCATGGGATCAGCCCTTCAGCAAAAAAGGGGGGAATGGGATTTATTTGATCAATTATAACAAGCATTATGGCTACATTCAGACTATTTACAACTAAATAAAAATAACAAAAAGAAAGAATTCTACTTAATAATTCCCAGATCTTGGATGAGTTTCAGAAGCTTTTAGTGTCTCTGTCTTCTCATACACTAAATGAGGACAAATCATCCTTATATACCTTTGTGATATGTTTGACAGCTTAAATAATACAGGATATGAAATTGAAATATGATTAATAACTAAGGAGCAGGGGTAATGACTCGTAATGATTTTGCTCTTTTTTATTCATTTTTATTTGTGATCTTTTAGAATGTAGAAATTCATGTTGGTTACTATTTCATGGTTAACAGCACAGAAAAACGATGGCTCCACTTGAATACCCACTTGCTCTGATATTAATTCTCCACAGCCCTGATCAGGGACCTAATTTGAACACCTCAGTGATAGCAGTTTACTGCTACATTTTCATCTCGCAATTACAGATGAAGGATATTTTTAAAGGCAGACAGCTATAATCTGCACAATCTATCATAGGTGAGATCATAACCACTATAAACATGTCATATGAAGCACAGAAAGGCCATCATTTTGACTTGCAGTGTTTGACTTTTGTTTATGAAGTTATGCAAAGAGCTAGAGTGTTTTGAAAAGTCCAAATTCAGCTAGGAATCATTCAATCCCCATGGCTTTGAAACCCTGTTACTGATCTGCTACCCGGAGATTGCGCTACAGAAGCACTAAAAGATAAGCCAAGTAGTTAATATAAAAAGAGTCACAGGAAAAGTTGCTGCTATCCACCTACGAAAGACTTAAAGTACATAATCAGACCTTGAAATGCTTATCCCAGCACAGTCATCTCATTCACTGATTCAGAGCTCAGATTCATACAGCCTTCAAAAACCTGAATTTCCCTAATGGAAAAGTTATGTTTTTATTGGTCTGCAGGGAAGGAACATTTCAAGCACTTAATGCAATGCCAGCTCTCATTTCCATAATTCTTCTTCCATTAAGAAATGAAAAAGAGCTGAAAAAGCCATCCTCTTTTACTGAAAATTCTGCAGCTTTTCTGCCCGTCATCTTCTGTTTACAAAGATAACAACAAGACATTTCTTATACATTGAACATTAAAAAATATTTCCTCTGTGCAACCTCAGTGATGCTGCCAGCTTCCTTCAATCACACAGGAAAAAATAATTATAGCATTAAAAAATTCTTAAAATACTTAGGAATTATAACTGAAACGACAAAACCTTCCACTTTCATGCTGTCATGACACAAATTAAATATGCTGATGCACATAAGTGGAAATCTAGATCAATACGGCATCATCACCAAAATAAAAATGCTTATGGAGTGAAGTAATATTTTCATAAACTGTCATAACACTTGATAGACCTAGAGTTAGAATGCAATAAATAAGTACATCTGACTCTAATTATAACACTGTAAGTATGAGACACATCACATTTCTGAAGTCTAACATGCAACAATCCATTCCTAAATCTTTCAAATAAGTAACATTAAAGGAATAAATGTATTTTACTCTTGGAATTGATGCAAAGAAAATCAAAGTGAAGAAAACTGGATTAAACATTCTTCTGAGTGCAGAAAAGTAGGGAAAATAACCGCTTTCTCTGTGTACCTGTTTCTCTCCAAAAGGTTTACCCATGTTCTTCAGAAAAGTACATTTGAGATAAAATGTATCTAATCTCTCTGATCACACTACAACCCAGGGGATTTCACTGCCTGCATGGTATCTGACATACTGAGAAATCTCGTTCTCTGTCATTTGTTCTTTCTCTCATCACAAACATGACAACAAGGTTTCCCCCATGCTTCTCAAGACTAAATGCTGCTGCCAACCCACACACTGCCCCAACTTGCTGTTTATGCCCACACTCAGCTGTTAGGACTTCAACCTCTTGATAAGAACCCTCTGTTAACTGTGTTGCGTTAGAAGAATCCCAGTTGCCTTCCATTTTAGCCACCCCATTACACTGCACTGAACTACAGCCTTTAACTTGCGCAACTCTGCAGATTAAATCAGTGGTCACCTTCCTTGCAACACTATTTATTGTTATTGTTCCTTTCCAGTGGTTCCTTTGATAATGTGGCTGAAGAAACCGAGGTAGAGACTTCAATGGGAGTAGGATGCATTTTATTTTTTCCCTTCTGCATTTTTTCCCTTCTGTTTTCCTCTTTGCTTCTGATCTCTTTCAAATATCTCCCTTGCAGGACACCAATGGAGGATCCCATCCTGCTCTGGGCTGCAGCTCTACTTCTAGGGGCAGGTGAGGCTGGGATCTTTTATGGACTCTATGGGCTGGTTACGTACTTCCAGCCCACCATGAATCTCCTATTCATCTCTGCAGGAAATCCTACATAGTAAATACATAATTCTGACTCTTCCTCCAGCCTCTCATTAACTAATGGCTTAACAATACAAATTATAGACACACAGAATTTGCCACAGATACTCAATGTATTAAAACATGCTGCAGCAAAAGAAGGTCCAAAGTGCAAAATCATGTCAAAACAGTATAGCTTGTTTCCTGACTAAGCAGTGAGGTATCCAGTCAAACACAGAACACTTCACAAAAGGTATTGGCTGATTTTTTGCTAGGTTAAACACATGGCAAAACAAGCCCTAACAGCTCACTAGCTGCTTCCTTTGGCTGGCTTTGGAAGAGACGCTAAAAACTCAGAGACCAAACCAGAAAAAGCACTTTGATTGACAACCTTAATTTGCAGCTGGAGCAATCCCAAATGCTGTGCTTAAGGAAATTCAATACTTTAACAGATGTCTTTAGACTGTTTTAGGGAATTATTAAAAAGTATTTGGAAATCCTTTTAGACTTTAAAAGGCAATTTTAAAATAATGCATCACAGTCGGTGTGTTTGTAATTCAGATGGTCAAACGGAGCTTGATTTGATCCTGTGGATTCAAGCACTTCACACAGTAAGTGCAAGTAAAGCTTGTGGAAATAATGGAAATGGTGAATTTCCTGCAGGCTTGACAAAGTAATGGCAAAAACTAACATATTAAAGCTTATACTTTAATATTTCCAGGGTGGCAAGAAGTAGTCCATGGAAAAGCCACTGAGAGCACCATTTTCCTGCTCAACTGTACTTTTTGAGGACATTAGAGAAAGCAAAACTGCTCTCTAACAGCTGGGCTGTCGGAGGGCACTTGGCTTTTTAACCCTTGCTCTGTCAGTTTTGGTCAGTTGACACAGATGTGCTTAGATTACTATCCCTGACCCCGTTTTGCATGTTCCCATATGAACTTGCTCATGGGGACTGGAGCATCTCTCTTTTGAGGAAAGGCTGAGAGAGCTAAGTTTCTTTAGCCTGGAAAAGAGATGACAGAGAGTTGAGCTTATCAACACGTACAGATACCTTAACGGCGAGTGTGCAATTTTTCCCCCCGCTCCTGCCTTGAGAACAGAAACTCCTTTGGGGAGCGTCTCATGCTTGAGGATCTCG